AAAGAACAATTTTCCTAAACGTATATTTTGACGAGTTTACAATTTTAAATAACCAAGTAGTACAACTCGACTTCATGACCATGTATATATAGTTAAGGAAAACAAGGTTCTGGAAAAGGGCGAGGCAAATGCTTTATAGCTTTTCTGGTGGTCTGGTTCAGTGTGCGACCTCTTTGTTAAAATGTAGAATTAAGAAATTGCGTGCTGTGCTAAGCAGACGGAGTTCCACTTCTTTACGGCAAGGTCACGCTAAACAGTCGACTATCAAAAAACTGGATAAAGCTTTCACTCTATTGTGGGGTTCTTTCTCTGCCCGTGAAATTCTATAAGGCCAATGCACAATCACCTCGTAAACTTTGGCGTGAGATAGAAAAACATGGACGATCTTTCTGGTTTTTTCTTTCTCATTCTCACTCTGCTTCTTCAAATTTACGATTTCTTTTTACTTTTTAGTCTTATTTGGAGATTTTTAAATTCTCTAAATTATTCATTTAGAGAATCAATAATTATTGATTTCGAGTCAATAATTATTGATTTCAAGTCAATGATTATTAATTTCAAGTCAATTAACTTGAAAACTGAAATATCACAGAAAAAAGAAAGTGTTATTTTAACGCCAAAAGTGGGTTTCTAACAATTAATATGGAATTTTTTTTTCAATTCAGAGCGCTACTGTTCATATGAATTCTGTGGTTGAAATAACACACTGAAGTGATAACCCCTTTTTTAGAGAATTGGCAGCGTAATACAATTATTCAATAAAGTTTGGGATTCATTGATTTTGGATAAAGCAAGAAATATATACAAAAATATTTGTTTAATGTATAATTATACAATTAAATTTTACAATTAAATAAAAAGTGGAAAAGTATTATAATCAGCTCCTTCACGTTCCGCAATATTTCTGTTATTAACTATACATTAATCTCTGTATTCTTTCATTCATTCTGTCCGCAGTTTGAAGTTAGTTTCTGTGTATGCTTTTGTTTTTTTTCTTTAAAAAATACTGTTTGGAAAATCGAAAATATGCAGGTATTTTTTCATGATTTATAATAAAATAATATTAGAAATTAGAAAATTTAAAAAAAATTATGATTAACAAATAAAAAATATATCCATTTTGTTTGTTATATGCTTTTTTCTATAACAAATTTCGTTTGACTGATCTAAATTATTATGCAAATTATTCTCCTTTTTATTTGTAAAAAATACTAGAAAATTGTTAATTGTCAAAAAATTTTGATTTAGAAATAGAAAATATACCCATTTTATGCATAATTTTTATTTCTCAACAACAATATTGTTTACAAACTCATTTTTTTCTTTTGGGAAGAAAAACATTAGGAATTTCCGTTTCTTAATATTTTTGTAAAAAATTCTCAATTTTCATAAGGAAATAATTTGCATTAATTCTATTTCTCAATTTCAATTGCTTTAATAAAATTCAAAGTTTCTTAAAAATAAAGAAAAAAATGTTTATAAATTATATTTGTTAATTAGAAAATTTAATTGAAAATGAAACTGAAAATTTTTGAATTTTTAAAAAAGAAAGGAAAAAATGTTCTGTTAAATATGTATTTACGAATATTTTTAATTCTAAAATGATTCGAAAACAATTTCTTTTTTAAATATTTTAAATATTTAATTATTATTTTTCCGTAGGAATTAAAATTCTTCAAAAGATTCAAATTCAAACCTTTTTGAAATTAATCAACTTTAAAAATATTGTTATAAAACATAAAGATAACGATCACTGCGAGTCTTCGACTCGGAGTGATTTCTTTATGTTTTATAATAATTAAAGAGAATCGGGTATTAAAATCATTATTTTATATTATAAGAATATTTTTACTGTAAAACTTTATAAAAATTATTTTCATATTCTATTATTATCTAAAATTCAAACTAAAATTCATTTTTAAATAAATTTTTATTAGAAAATTCTACGAGAATTCAATTATATTTATATAAAAAAGTAAATTATTTATTGAATAATTGAATGATTCTTAAAATTTAATTTTTATAAAGAATTTTATTAACAAATTTTTAAATAAATGAATTCTTTTGACGAATTTTAAGAAAATTTTTTTTAGAATAATTACATTTTTCCAGGAATTTGATTAAAATTATATTAAAACTAATTGAAATTCTGCGATGAGTTTTATTATTTCTAACAATAATGGAATTACTGAGAAAGAAACCTATAAAAAATTTGCAAATAATTGAATTCCTGTGAAATTTTTATTAATTAAGAAAATAATTAAATGTTTGCGTACAATTGTATTAAAATTGTTTTTAAATAATTGGATTCTTTTGGGTAATTCTATATTAAAATAGCAGATATTGAAATCCATTGAAATGAGGAAAATTTTTGAAAATAATTGGAATTTTGACAAGAATTTTATTAAATTTTTTTTAAATAATTCAATTTTGAAGAAGAATTTTTTTATTTATAAAGATAATAATTGGTATTTTGTCGAGATTTTTTTGTAAATTTTGAACATAATTGAATTTTGTAGTAAGAATTTTATTACTTTTGAAAATAATTGAATTTTTGCAATCATTTGTAACTTCTTCAAAATTCAATTTTTTAGTCTTTTTAACTAAAATTCTTCTATAAATCCATTATTTTTAATTATTAATTAAAAATACATTGACAAATTTAACTAATTTTAGAAGATTTTAAATTATTAAAATTTTTCAAAAATCTAAGTTCATTAAAATTTCTAATTAAATTCATTCAACATTAAAATTTTATAAAATTTCAAATTAAAACTGTTTGAAGTTCATTTATTTATGAAAATTGTAAACGCAACTCTTTTAAAATTGAATTAATTTTGAAGTATTTAAGTAAATATATTCATTAAATAATTTATTTATTTTATAATAATTGTTCAAGATTTAAGTTATTTAAAAAAAAAAATTTTGTCAGAAATTAAAAAAATTGAAGATTTTGTATTAGAATTCGTGGTAATTTTATTGTTTATGAGTCAAACAAGAAAGACAAAAATTCAGAATTTTCTTATGAATTATAAAAATTTAATTTTTTTCAGTACTTTTAATAAAAATTCCTGACTTTTCGCTGAATTCCCTATGTCAGAATATATGATTATTATAATTATAATAATATTAAAACTATATTATATTATTCAATTCATTTTTTATTTTTATAGAAAAAAGTTTGAATTACAAATTTTTAGGTTATATTATTTTTAAAATCGCTAATGCATGTAAAACATCTTACGAGGGAGAGGGGATTAAAAAATCTTAAAAATATCCTGACGTAATAACCCCGAGAGTGTAAGAAGTAATAATTAATCAGTAAAATTTTAGTATAATGATTTAATGAAATTTCTCTAATCACTAATTTCACACTCACTGCATACATACGCTAATTACAATCAGTGCAGTATATACTTATCGCTTTTTTAGATTTAGACAACACGCATTTTATATGAAGCTAAAAAACGACAAATTTATGACAATGAAAATTTCTCAAATGGAACACTTATACAGAAAAAATATTCTGTAACTTACAACACCAATTTGTGGAATGCAAAAAAAACCTTTAAGTTTTTGTGCTGTCTATAGCAAAATTTAGTATTTCGCGTATAAGCTGGTATGTGACACACCAACTGGCCAGTGGTAATCGCAAGAAATTTACGCATACACGTAAACGGTTTATATGTATATATGAATGTGTTATTTCTACCGATCGGAAAAAATAGAAATAAACCCGCTTAAATGTTGCAGTTTAGGTTAAAGTATTGTGCCCTCTCTCTTTCTCACTCTCGCTTGCTTTTATCCAAGCCACAGCATTTAAGCCGACATATTTCAATTTTTTTCCGACCGGGTGGAGACTATAACTCTGTTTGCAGAGCGCAAGAGTTTCTCTGAATTCCTCAGGAAACTTTTTTCCACGCGTTTTTCTGACTTCATACACTTAATTTTATTTTGATGTGACATTAAATTTTGTCCTTATGTTTTATTCTACCTAACATTTATTACTTTATTATTATTACTCCAAAATAATTATCAGAGAATTTGATTGTAATTATTCATTTTATTATTATAAGAATTTCCACTGCATTAAATTATCAAAATCTGATTTTTGTATTTTTAAAAAAATTTGACCTCCTATTTCAAAGTATAGACAAATTTGTTTTAAACTGATTTATAAAAAAAGCGATAGCAAAATTTTAAAAAGAAAATTTAATAGAGAAGTTTAAAATAATCCCAAAAATCTAGAAATGTCGATTGAATTGTAGAAAGTTAAAAATTCGAATATTTGAAAAATAAAAAAATTTCACATAACCATCTCGGGTGATTGTTCTTTCATTGATAAACATAATAAAAATGTGATCAACACGATTCTCTGGGGGAGAGGTCTTCACCTGAAAAAGTTTTCTAGAAAAATTTTCTGAAGAAATAGAATAAATATTTTTCTCTTTAATTCCGTTAATTTGTAATTACATGAAAAGGGAAATTGCATATTTTTAATGAAATAATGAACTAACATTTTTTCTCCTAATGCTTCGGATAAAATAAGTTCATTTAAATAAATGAAATAAGTACTCTAAAGGCAATCGGGATAAACAATAAATAAAGAGAACATAACAATGAAAATAAAAAAATTCATATATGAAACAGTATGAATTAAAATTTAAGATAAAAAGTTGGAATTTAAAAAAATTGTAAAATAAAGACACACTTGGAATACACTTTTCATATAAGTTGTTAATTAAATGACTATCCGTTGGGATATATAAAACCATGAAGAAGGAACTTTTGCTACTGGACCCAAACTCAAAAGGCCCATCAGGACAGATTAAACTCCATGAGAACACAAGTTGTGTGCATGGAAAGGAGGCGGGACTCAAATCCTGGCGTTTAAGAGAGAAAATCAGAAGAAGGGGGGGGGGGGAGAGAGAGGTGGACGACTGCTTCCTCCCAATGCATGACGCCTCCAGGGAAGGGGGGCGCTGAAATTTAGCGGACGTCGTTGGTACTACAGTCGAACGAAACGATACTCGTGAATTTCTCATTTCCAATAAACTACATCTTGTTCTTTGAAGATCTTCAAAGTTAGTGAGTACTTGATTCAATTATTAAATGTCTCCACTTTCTATAGACGTAAATGCAACATTGCAGGCAATGCGATTCTTCCACAATTGTCAAAATATTGAAACCTAACCTCAAAATACAGATTTTGTTTATTTTCTTATTTTTTCCTCTTTTTTCTTTTATTTTCACTGAAATTTTATGCATCGTACATTAGAATAAGGTAGTAGTTTATGTATTAAGATGTTATATGTCATTTTGCTTCGAAATGACATTTTAGGAATATTACATCAATTATACGAAAATTTACCAAGAAGTTATGAGAAGTTAGGGTAACTTCCAAATCTTTCGTTTGCTGTTCACAGTTATTAAAATTAGAAAAAAAAATTAAATTAGAATTTTTTTTTTAATTTTAATTATTTTAATTAAATTAGAAATTTTAAAATTAAAATTCATTTAATAATAATAATGATTCTATCACTAGGTTTTCAAATTTTCTTTATTTCTTTTTTAAATATGTACTTATAATTTAATTTTTCGCAATTTTTACGGTAATATTTAATAAAATTATTGTTCACAAAGCAATTCAATTTGGCAAAATTGCCATGTGAGAAAGTTTGAGTAATAAATAAATAAAAGTATTTTTAAAATAACAATCCTTTTATTAAATCACACTCCATTTGATTTAATATGAAACAAAAGTAATACAAATTTTAAATATTTTGATATAAAAACACTCCGTTATTAATTTTATGAATATATAAGATAATAGATATATAATAAGTTTCTTATTCGCCAGTCACGAGAGTACTGGCTTGTCGTTTCGTAAATTTTATTCGTCACTATATTTTTCGTCAACACTCGACAAAATTCGTCAATTTATTTTTATACATCTGATTACATTCGTTCTTCAATAATTACAGCTTCTGAAGAGGACAGCTTTGCTGTTGAAAACGTTAAAGGAATTGTTTTAATTTTTCCATTGGCTTAACTCAGAATGATCGTTGACTTCAATACTTAATTAAAATTCATTAAAAATTATTTTTTAATTTTATAAAATTCTAGAACATTAATTAAATTATTTTCATAAATTCTCGTCTGAGAAATTATATTAGGTAAAATTTAAAATATTTATAATTAAAAATTTGTTCCACCAGAGAAGTAAACAAAAACCAAAAATAGGCATCAAAAATTCTATTTTCGATAAATTAAATATATGTAAATCAATATTAAGTCATATTGACTTTAATATATTTAAAGAGCAATAAAATTTTATATCATGAAAAACAATAATTTTCTATAGTGTATAGCTAATTTTTACTTATGACAGCAATTAATTAGCTTTCGCAACAAAAAATTGTTGTGACTTGATAGTTGACACAAGTTCAAAATTTTTATTCGTTTGTCTCATCCGTTTAATTTATTTATTTGCTTATGTGTTTCAATTATTTATTTATTAATAAATAATTGTTTTGTGTGAAAAGAATGTTTTGTTTATTCATGAAAATTCTTTTTTGTGAATGAATTATATTTCCGTTGTTGTTAATGACTCCAACTACTATTGTTTTCCAACGTTTTTGGGTTTTAGGTATGTTAAAAATTAACAAATTTTATTTTTATGACGATTTGAAAAAGATGATGTAAACTGTATCACTGATTTATTTCGACTCCCTGAAGAGAAAATCGTTAAGATTTCGAAAAGTTGGAGAAAAAATAAACACTAAACATTTGGTCCAAATGACTTCGTTTTTATTAACGAATTATTAACGAAAAAATTAAAATTTTTTGTCCGGAACTTACAATGTTTTAAGGACCTTAATTTTTGTGTCAAATTCTGATGATATTGATGCCTTGGGTCCAAGAATTTTTGAAGAAGGTGTTAAATAAAATAAGTACTGAGTACTTTTCACTGTGAACACAGATCATCAGCTTATTTATTTATCACCTTTCGTTTGATTAATTGTAGTCTAAAAATGGGTACCCCTAAAAATTAATAACAGATTAGCTATTATGATGTGGAAAAAATATTCTTTACGCAAAGTGATACTTTAATGATGACAATAAAGTTTTTCTAATTCGAATAGCAGTTTTATACGTGTGCAATACTATTTTAGATGTATATAATTTTGGCGCGATTTCAAAGAGCTTACCTTCGGTAAGAATCGTGTTTAATCGCACCGAGTTGAAGTTCTCGAACCACCGGATGGTGGAGCTAGGAGACGACCTGCGTGATGTCGTACCGCCCACGAGAACTTGGCTGGGCGGAGTTGGAGTGATCTATAGCGTCATAGAATACCCCCTCTTTGAAGTGGCGGCCGTTTGTACGTTCCTCAAGGCCACGCCCGAGAAGAGGAATGCGCGGTCGCGGCCCCAGCCCCTTCAGCGATGTTTATGCTCCGTCGTCGTGTCTCTATCTGGTTCTGTCTGTTCCCTGTTCCGGGCTCTTTCTCTTCTGTCCACTTGTCCCTTTCTTTCCCTGCTCTATACTCCTCTCTTGTCCCACATGTTTGGCTGCTTCATTCCCTGTGCACTTTTCTGTCTCTCTCTCTCTCTCTTTCTCTCTCTCTCCCCCAGCCTCCCTGGCTTTTCCACCTCTACTGGCTGGCTGCTCTTTACCTCATGTCCATTTCTTATATTCGAGGCGTTCATTACCGCTAAACATTCCTGTCAATTAAAAGTGCACGACCAGTCCGATTTAGTGGCGATCTCTACATACTGGCGCTGCCGTGGACCAACCCTTCTCCGTGAGATACCAGCAAACTGTATGAATACAGTGGCCGAAATGGTCATACACACAGGAGGCTGATATCCGCTTTCAATTATCTGCATACGGCCCGACAAAAATGTTCCATAAATGGGTGGATACTTCAAGTTTTTCAGATTTCTTTTAATACTTTTTTCAATAATAAATATTCTCAAACAATGTTTAAAATAATCATCAAAGTATTTTAAAAATTTTTTAATTTATTTTCTTCTATATTTTCAAATTTTAATGTCTCATCGATTTCTATAAATTATGAAGTATTCATCATAATTGAAAATCTGGTTTTTATTTTTAATGATAGTCTCATTACTCATCTGTTTCTCGTTTGAAATCTTAATTAACAGAGGTTATTTAAAAAATATAACTATATTAATTTGCAAATCAAAATGTCAGAATATGAAATAAAAATAGAAGTCAGCTGAAACTATAATCTTGAAATCGAGAATAATGATATAGGATCAACTAGCTCCGAGTAATTTTTTTAATTCATATTCTCAATTAATTAAAAATTGTGTTTTTTAATTATTTATAAGTGTCTTTATAACTTGAGGTTCATTATATTTATATTTTAAAGTCTTTTATTAATATGTTGTCACTTATATTTGTTATTTAAATGAAATAAGTAAATTATTAATTAAAGTACCCTGAAAAAAAATGTATTTAATTCAAATAAGCATAATTAATTGACTATTATCAATTAAATGTTCACTTGAATCTAATAATATTTATTGGAGTTAGTAACTTAATGGTATATTTGAACCAGTAACTTCAGTATTTGAAGCAAGTACCATTTAATTGACTCCAATTATAAATATTATTTGATTCAATTAAATATTTAATTGATAATATTCAATTAATTCTCCATTTAAATAAAATAAATTTTTTTTTCAGTGTAATATCAATGTGAGTACACGTAGAGAGAATATATATATTAAATTTTGTAAAAGTGTTTTACAAATTGGGAAAAAAGTGCGACAAAGCGAAATTTTTTATAAAAAATACTATAAACATTAAAAAAACTGATGTGAAATTTAGTAAAGTTATATTAGAATTTAATTAATATTCTGAATACTTGATATAATTATTTCACTAAATTTCACATAAGTTTTTTTAAAATTTGGTATTTTTTATAAAAAAAATTCGCTTTGTCGCATACTTTTTCCCCAATTTGTAAAATACATTTACAAAATTTAATATTATATTCTCTCACCGTGTAGAAATTTAAATTCATCTCCGAAGCCAACTCCATTTAAAACATTCTCACTATCGATCAAAAAATTTTCAATTTCACGCAAAATTTTTTCATTATCATCACCAAAAAAAAAATCTTTACTTTTACTGTTAAAAGTTTTTCATTTTCACCAAAAATACTTTCACTTTCTATGAAAAAATTTTTACTCACAATTTCACCCAAAGAATTTTGACTTCTAAAAGAATTTCATTTTTGCAAACAAATTTTCACTTTTAATTTCCCAAAAAATATTTTGACTTTCAACTTCAGAAAATACGAAAAGAAATTTTCACTTCGAATCAAGAACTTTTTGCTTCGAATTTCACCAAAAATATTTTCACTTTGAATTTCACGGAAAATATTTTCACTTTCACTCAAAATATTTTAACTTTCATAGTTTCTACGAAAAAATTTTCACTTTACTTTAGAATTTTATCCAAAATGTTTTGATTGAAAGTGAAATATTTTTTGGCGAAATTGAAAGTGAGGATTTTCTAAGAGGAGGTGAAAACTTTTTAAGTGAAAGTGAAGTTTTTTTGTTTGAAAGTGAAAATATTTTAGATGTAATTTAAAGTGAAAATTTTGTTTGTTGAAATTGAAAGTGAAAATATTTTGGGTGAAATTGAGATTGAAAATTATTTGCGTGAAAGTGACATTTTTTTTGGTGAAATTGAAAGTGAAAATTTTTTGAGTGAAAGTGAAAGTTACGTGAACGCACAAAGTATTTAACAACCATACATAGTGTATCTGTTAAAACAATTGTCAATAATAGGTATACCTGTGAGATTTACAAGAAATCAATTTGTGAAAAGATTTACGATTCTTCTGATAATACGAACAACACTATAATAACGTTTGGCAACGTTTCGGCGTTGCCAAACGTTTACCGTTTCCAAGTAAGTCAAATCAGTAAATATTGCTCCTGTTTTGACCTATAGCTGCATCAAGCGAAGAACCTGCTTAATTATATTGTAATATTTTTAAATTAAAAAAATAATTTTTCATCAAAGATAATGAGTTTATCTTCGAAGC